CTCTCTGATCTATTTCTCTCTCTCTCCCTTCTCTCTCTCTCTTTCTTCCCTTCCTCATTTCCACTCTCTCTAGGGAGCAATGGAAAAAGTATCCTCAGGTAAAGATTTTAAAAAAAAGAAGAAGAACTCTTCCCTTGGGTACAAATAAGAGGAACAGGCCTCAATGGAGCCCTTACTATACCTTGTACAGTGCAGTGAGAGCAAAAACCTGTCATTAAGCCTTTGGATCAAATATTCCTGAAATCTACATATTCCTCAGATTTCCAGGTATATAAGTTAAAAACATTTTTAAATTGGATTTTCTGTTATTTACAGCCTCAAACTTCATCAATAATATAAGCCCATTGGAAAAATCAAACTATATTTGACTTCCTTACACTTTATGCCAGGGGCGCGGCCCACAATTCCCTGAAGCGGCATGCACAATAAAGGCAGGTGCTCTTACTTAAGTAAAGTGATTTTCCTTCACGACTGAAGTAGAGTCCTGAATTTGCCATTTGTTTGTGCATGCACACTGCACATTCTTTTCCTCCCACTTTTGAGATATAATCCACATACATCACTGTGTGAGTGTAAGGCATGCAACCTGAGGGTTCGCTTGACATATTCCATGACATGATTATAGCAATAGGTTCAACTAACACCATCAGCTCATATGGTACCATATGAAGCAAAGAAAGGAAAAGAAAGTTCTCCCTGTGAGGACTTTTAGGGGAGGTGCTTCTTTGCATTATTAGGAAGCCAAGAGGGAACTTAGAGATAATTCATGCAATCACTTCATTCATTTCACAGATTAGTTTATTCAAACTTTTATCGAGCACATACTATGTGCCAGGCACTGTGCTAACTAATGGAAGGTGCAGAGCACCTCTGAGATATCCATGGCAGGCCAGACAGAAGACACTCACTCTCCCAAGAGGAGCTCAGAGACTCCTCCTCCTGACCATGCTGTAGGGGAGGGGAACCACCCAGCATCATGCCTCCCCTGGCCCAGGGCAGCTTCCAGCCACATAGTTTGGTGCCCACGACCTTACCTGTTTCCATGCAGGGCTGCCCCGTCCTGGTCTCTGCCCGGTGCCCCAGGCACAGATGAGCCAGAGTAGCCATGACGTTAGCATTTCTGACTCCTTATCTCTCAGTTCTCTTGAACAGCACAGCTTCTTAAAGTTATTTATGACTCCAGACACCTCCGGAGTAAAAAAAAAAAAAAGTTTCCCCCTCCTGCATTTCAGCTACTCGACAACATTATGGATGGCGGCATGCATTATGATTTTATGTTCCTCCAAGAAAGAAAAATGCTGCCATTAAGTCCTAACACAATGCTTTATCACTTAGAGGTTTGTAAAAAAAAAAAAAAAAAAAAAAAAAAAAAATTCTATATATTGAAAAGATTTGACTTGTTTAGACATGGGTTTTATCACAGATCACTCCTCTGAACAAATGAAAAGGGAACGCAAGCAAAACAAATTGGTTTAGATGTCCCGAAAACTTCTGCACAGAGTTCGGCTCTTTTGAATCATGTTTCAACTTGGAGTCATAGGTGCCTCTTCCCCGCCCCCCCCCCCCCAAAAAAAAAAACATTAACTTTTGTGCCATCAAGAGCCATGGTGTTGCGACCAAGCTGCCGACTGGCATTCATCCCTGTGCAGCTAAAGACCCATCCATATATATATATATATGGCAGAGTTAACTTCTCTGGGTATCTAACTACCTGCCCTCTGCAGCTGCTCCCCTGCCCCACCTTCAAAGGCGGAGAAGGGTTCCTGGGGCCCACATGGCTCTCTGTTGTCCTTCCAAACAGCTGCTCACCCCGCCTTTCTTCAGAAGCCTGCTCCTTGCAGGTTCCTCCGTCCATTGTGCCCACTTTCCCCGCCTTGCAGCTGTCGCTGCCTTTTGATCGCTCCTCTTGTTGGCAGAGGATGCTGGCTAGGAGTTCACACTCCCTTCTCCAACATCTGTCAGTTTCTTGCTTCATTACCCACCCGGACCTTCACTTTACCTGTGACTGTTCTGCCCTCTTCTGGCTCAACGACACCTCCCCACCCCACGTTGGGGTTCTACCTCCTTGAGACCACCAGATTGCTCCCACCTCTGGACACCCGTGTCCATGAACCTTGTACCCCACAGCCCATCCTCATTTCTCCTGTAATTCTACTGCCTCTCTCTCCCTTCCTATAGTCTTCTGGAAAAAAACCAAGTCTGCATCAAGTGTCTTCAACCCCAGTTGATCACCCATGCGGGGGACAACACCCTGACACATCTGAGTGCTCAATTCCAACTCTAAACTGACCGCCTCACAGACCAGCCCTGCCCTGCCTTTATACTGTTTCTCTAATTGGCTCGCTTTTCAATAGCAAGATGAATGACTACTTATACCTTCTGAGAACATCTCCAGCCACATCCGACTGCTGGGTCTCACTTCACTTGACCAAGAGATTCAACCTCCATTATCTCACCATTCTTCTCATCCTCCACTCTTTCCTGTCCTCTACTTCCGGAGCCCTATTAGGCTAGAGGGCTGTCCCTCCTTTTTCTTGGGCTGTGAGCTTCAGTGACCCTTCTCTTCCACCCCCACACCATCCCTCTCCACTCGCCACAGTAATTGTTCCACCCACATACACTCTACCTCCCACTGCAAACACCCCCCTGGCTCCACCGTTCTCGTCACCACACCATTTCTCCGCGTCCCTTTAGGAACGGCTTCTCACTCTGACCCCTCCCCCACTCTCCATCCACTCAACCAACTCCGGGCTGCCTTCCACTCCCATCCCATCCTGAAATCGCTCCCTCAGTTATCAAAGCTTCATACCACTAATGCCAGTAGACAGTTCTGCCCTCACTTTCCTAAACGCTGACAAGCACTTGGCACAGCCCACTCTCCGAAAGCAGCTTCCTCTCAACCTCGGATCCTCTGTATGTGTCCTCTCCTCCCCCAAACTCTCAGGGATGGGCTTCCCAACTCTTCTCTTCTCTCCCCCAGTCTGACAAATGGCTCTGTCATCTTTATGCAGAAGACCCACAGATTTGTATCACAACATGCCACACCCAAATGACCTTGATTCTACCCCCTCCAAAAGCTTGCTATCCCCTCAGGTTTCCCTTCACCCACAATTTGAATAACCGAAGATGCAAACTGAAAGCCACCTTGAGTCCTCTTCCCTCCATCAGAGAGCCGGTCAATGCCACCACCGGCTCACTCAAATGCATCCACTTCTCTCCACCTGTACTGCCACCCTGGCCCAGATCACCTTCATCTCCCACGTGAACTGCTTTGGCAGCCTCCCATCTCCCTTTTCCTACCCGCTTTGAGTCCACTCTGCACACACTAAGCCCCCAGCCATGGCCTCCTGCCTGCCTCTCCAGCTTCATCTTTCCTTGCTCACTATAGTCTAATTACACCAGCCTTTTTCCATTTCTTGTCCATGCTCTGGTACATTAAAGATGGCTGCAAATTCCCTACCCTCCCAGTGGAGAGATGGAGTCTAATTCCCCTACCCTTGTTTTGGGATAATTTGCCAATTCTTCCTCAGGACCTTCCTCCCTAGAAAACTTTAGAATATTCTTCCCACACTCCTACCTGGCTACTTCCTTCTCACCTTTCAGCTAAAATACTCTACAGAGAAGGCCCTTTCAGACCACCTCAAGTAAAAAAAAATACCAAGGTAGGACCTGTATCAATACATTAATGCCTTAACACTGACAAAAATAATAGGCATCCCAATTAAAATTATTAATCTTATCTTTCTCTCTAGAGCAGGGAAATGGCCCACAGGCCGGCCACCTCCTTTTAAAAATAGTCTTGCCTGGCCAGCTGTTTTTCAGTGGTTGATGTCAACCTATGAATCGGGAGGTCAGGGCATATACCTGGGTTGCAGGCTCGATCCCCAGTGTGGGGGGTGCAAGAGGCAGCTGATCAATGATTCTCTCTCATCATTGATGTCTTTCTCTCTCTCCCTCTTCCTATCTGAAATAAAAGTATATTTAAAAATAAAGAGTTTTATTGGAACACAGCCATTTATTTATGTATTGTCCATCACTACTTCTGACATGGCAGAGTTCAACAATTAATACAAAGACCATGTGGCCCAACAAAGCTTAAAATATTTACTATTTAGCCCCTGAAAGCTTCCCAGCCGGGAGGAGAGCTGGCTCTTGTCCCTAGATCTCCAATTCCTCATACACATTGTCGAAAGAACAAGAGGGCCAGGAAGTCCCCTACAAACCCTTTCCTGGGAGGCTCTATCAGAGCAGGGCTAGCGCAGCGCTGTGGCAGCTCCCTTCTGAGGTCCCCAGAGCCTAACGGGTCCCAAAGATGAAAACCCTGAAGGAGATGCACCAGGACTCAGATGTGTCAAGTTCAAGGTCAGTCCAAGGAGACCAAACCATTTCCAAGCTCAGTTTCAGAAGACAGTTGGGGGTTGGTTAGGACTCTTGAACCTCCTTTCAGGGGTATTCTGCTTGGGCCAATTCCCAGGCAAGGATGCGACCACTTTCAGAGGGAAAAGGGGTCCTCGGCTTCCCTGTCCTCAACAATCGTGGGCTGGGGTAGACCCTGGAGAGCAGCCACGTATGAGCGTGGAAGAGACCACGTGGGAGTGTGGTTCAGAAGCTCCTCCTCGGCAAGAGCATGGGATGGTGACAGCTTAGGCCCATTTCCCAGGTAAACTAAACTTTGGGGGGTCAGGGAGGCATCAGCTTGTGTGTGGGCACAGACTTTTACATTCAAATGTCTGGGGGCTGCCAGACTGTGTGTGTGTGTGTGTGTGTGTGTGTGGTGTGTGTGTACAGGGAGACAGGCTCTGAGATTTGTCAGGTCCCCTGGGAGGAGATGCAGCTTTTTGCCTTTGATGCCATGAGTTGCTGGGAGCCTTAAGCTCAGAACATATTGCACGTACTTCTCCTTTTAATCTATTACCTATCAGGCTCAGGCCCAGGAAAAGAAAACACTCCTTTCTCCTCCCTCTCACACGGACAAAGGTCCTGATCTCAGAGCTGAAGCCTTAAGGCCTGAGGGCAGAGCCAGGTTCTAGCAGTCCCAAGTCCTGGAGGGCTTCCACCAGCTGCTCCCGGGCAGTCCCAATGAAGGTGTTCTCCAGGAAGGCAGGCAGGCCGCTCACACCGTCCCGCAGCGTGTACAGGGGCACCCGCACCAGGCCCAGCACCTGTGAGAGGAAAAAGACCCAGCAGCTCATCCCGGCCAGTCGTTCTAGATCAGACACCTCACCCCGTATCAGTCCAGCAGAACCAGGCCTGGGGACTCGCATCTCAATAAAGCCTAGTGGGCCCAGCTCTAGGCAGACAGGTGACCCAACTCGTGCTCCCCAGCTCCAGAGCCTTCAGTGGCGCTGCCTCCAGGATGCCTGCTTGGTCCTACATCAGTTCTCAACATGTGGCACCCAGACCAGCCCTATCAGCAGCACTTAGGAGCTTCTGGGAAATACAAATTCTCAGGTCTTCCCCTCCCTCCTCCACTGAACCAGCAATTCTGGGAGTGGGCCAGTAAGGACTGCTTTAATAGGTCTCCCAGATGATTCTGATCATCACCCAAGTTTAAGAACCAATCTCCATCTGCTCCCCTAGCGCCCCGCCCCTAGCCTAAGTGCCAAGGTTTGCCCGAAAAGGATCAGGCCACATCTCCTACCCAAGCGAAACGGGGGCTTCGGGGGCCATGCCTGGCCATGAGAAAAGGGGAGCAGGCCAAAACCCGCTTGGCTCAGTGGATAGAGTGTTGGCCTGCAGACTGAAGGGTCCCAGGTTCGATTCCCATCAAGGGCATGTATCTTGGTTGTGGGCACATCCCCAGTACTGGGTGTGCAGGAGGCAGCTGATCTATGATTCTCTCTCATCGATGTTTCTAACTCTCTATCCTTCTCTCTTCCTCTCTGTAAAATATATTTAATATTATATTTAATTTTAATTTAATATTAATTTAATATTATATTTAATTTTAATTTAATATTATATTTAATTTAATAATATATTTAATTTTATATATAAATATAAATATATTTAAAATATATTTTTAAAAAATAAAGAAAGAAAAAGGGAGCAGAAGAGAGGCTTGTTTGAGTGCGTTTCTACCAAGTTAGCTGCAGAGGCCTGTACAGGGGGGGTAATGGGGAACCTTCACGGGGTGGGAGTAGGGGGGTCAGCCATCCAGATGAAAGCTAACCAAGACTCCCACTCCACCAGGAAGCCCAGGGAGAGGCTTTCGGAGGAGGGTGGGCGTGGGATGGGGGTTCCCAGACAGGCCCCACCTCCAGCCCGTGGTCCTGGGCCAGCGGCGCGCCCCTCTCCACGGCCTTCAGCTGCTCCAGCGGCAGGCTCTTGATGTAGAAATGGGCCACGACGCGCGGGGCCGACGGCGCGGACGACACGTAGGAGTTGCGGTAGTCGGCGCGCTCCACGCGGAAGGCGGTCGCGGCCTCGCCCAGCTCCTCCAGCAGCTCCTGGTTCAGCCCGTCCTCCAGGCTGCGGTCCGGGAAATGCACGAAACCGCCCGGGAAGCCCAAGCGCCCGTCAAAGCGCATCTGCATCTGCAAGGACAGGGCAGCGGGGGTGGGGTTGGCCGGGGCGCCGGAGGCCGGCCGCGGGGCGGGGAGGCGGCGGGGGAGTGGCGGGTGGCGGGCGCGTCCCCTCCTCACCAGGACCAAGTAGCGCAGCGGGATGCGGCGGAAGAGCAGCCCGGGGTCCCGGGCGTAGAGCATCGCGTGGCACGCGTGCCGCCACTCAGGGCCCAGCGCCAGGGCCTCCTCCAGCCCCACCTTGCGGACCCCCAGACGCTCCTCCGTGGACCGACGCCCCCCCGTGGACCGACGCCCCCCCGTGGACCGACGCCCCGTGGACGGAGGCTCCCCCATGGCCGGGCGCGGCTGCCCCACCGGCGGTTCAGGAGGCCCACGTGGGCCGCTAGGTGGGTCTCAACCTGGACGACCAATCGGAGCTCGGGCCCGGCGGTAAGGACCAATCCATGCAGGGGTCAGGCCGGGTGGCAGCCAATCAGGGTGGGGCTTGGGTGAGGTCGTTGGCGGCGGGACAGTAGCTATTGAAAGCTTCCTCTGGATTGGTCAGCGGGGCGTTCTGACTGCGAGCCGGTAAAGGCCTGAGCAGGAGTAAGGTAGGGACGGATCCTGGGAACTAGGGGAGCATAAGGAGCGATCTGGGAACTGCATCTGGTTTGGTTTGGGTGGTACATGAAGCATGTGGGCTGGGTGAGGTTAGGAAGAAAATGAGGCCCCCAGCTGGCCTGGCTTAGTGGTTGAAGTTCGACCTATGAACCAGGGGATCACATGCCCAGTAGGAAGCAACTGATCAATGATTCTTAGTTTCTCTCTCCTTCCCTCTTCCCTCCTCTCTGAAATACATACATACATATACATATACATATACATATACATATACATATGCATATGCATATGCATATGCACATGCACACGCACACGCACACACACACACACACACATATATATATATATATATTATATATATATATATATATATATATATATATATATATATATATATATAGAGAGAGAGAGAGAGAGAGAGAGAGAGAGAGAGAGAGAGAGGCAAAGTTGGCCTTCCTGGGGGCAATGGCGAGGAGGGATTGTGTAACTCGCCAAGTTGTGAAATTGTGAGGACTCCTTGGCTGATTGAATGTTGGGAGAGAATTATACTAGGATGAGGTCAGAGTTTAAGGCCTGGGTCAGTGGTCGGCAAAGTCATTAGTCAACAGAACCAAATACCAACAGGACGATGATTGAAATTTCTTTTGAGAGCCAATTTTTTTAAAACTTAAACTTCTTCTAACATCACTTCTTCAAAATAGACTCGCCCAGGCCATGATATTTTGTGGAAGAGCCACACTCAAGGAGCCAAAGAGCCGCACATGGCTCGCAAGCCACAGTTTGCCCACTACGGGTCTGGATGGGTGGCTTGGTGGTGTCTTTTTTTTATCCTCACCCTAGGATGTTTTTTATTGGAGAGAGAGAGAGAGAGAGAGAGAGAGAGAGAGAGAGAGAGAGAGAGAGAGAGATTCATTGCCTCCCATACGTGCTCTGACCATGGATTGAAACAGCAACCTGGGTATGTGTCCTGACCCTTCAGTGTACTGATAGATGCTCTACCCACTTAGCAACACTGACCAAAGCTAAAGTGGTGTCATTTTTTGAGATGGGGATTTAGGAGAGGTAGCCAATGAGAACTGTAGTTCTAGTCAAGAATTGGGAGTGGCAATAGGCAGTAGATAGGACAGATAGGATCCGTGAGGTTGCAGTAGGCAGACAAGATCAGTGCAAGGATGGCAGCGGGTACAGAAGGTCTCCAGAGCAGAAAGTCCCCTAGCACATCCTTGGTCATTCAGTTTAGATCCCTTGACCTTTTCTCCTTGGGCATGTTGCTAGTCATGCAGGTTAGACCCCCTTAGAGGGAGAATAAACAAGGACCTGAGAACAGCCCTTAAGCACTCAGTCCTCAGGACAATGAGGTTCTGATCCGTATCAAATACATTTAGGCCTCATTTGTGCTTCAGCTCCTGATCCAGAAAAGCAGCAAAAGCAGACAAGGAACGCCATCCCTGGCATTGGGACCAGCTGTGATAACTAATGGCTCTCGTGCCACAACCCTCAAAGGACACACCTGGAAAACTGATGAATATTCTTCTAGGGAGATCCACCCCTAGGACTTTCCCTAAAATCCCCATTCTTAAAAAAAGGCTGTTAGGAAGGTTTGGGGAGCACCCTAGCAACTTTCCTGGCACAATACCTTTCTCTTTGTCCTAAACTCCAAGGGCCCTTCTTTTGCCTCTGGAATCTGTTTCCTGAATCCATATCTTCTATGGTTCTCTTCTACCTTTGTGACTTTCTAAGTAAACTTTCAAAGTTTGAGTCTTGGCTCTGAATCCTTTTTTTTTTTTTTTTTTTAAATCCTCACCAGATGATATGTTTTTATTGATTTTAGAGAGAGAGAAAGGAGAAAAAGAGGAGGGGAAGAAGGGAGAGGAGCGAGAGAAACATCTCTGTGAGAGAGATACATCTACTGGTTGCCTCCGGTCCATTCTCGACCCATACATACTCGAACCAGGGATTGAACCCACAAGCTAGATATGTGCTCTGACCGGGAATCAAACCCACAACCTTTTGGTGCATGGCCAACACTCCAACCAACTGAGCCACTCGGCTTAGGCACAGTACAATGAATTTTAATATCTCCCCCTTTGAGGGAAGGTCTGAATTCTTTCTTAGCCAGAACTCAAGTTCTGAGGTTGCTAACCCAAGGTCACTGGTAACATTCTGGTGCTGCGTTCACCTCTGCCAACAAAAGTTTCCAAGGAAGGGTAAGTGAGAAAAGAGCTGTGGGTGAAACCCTGTGGGCACAGGGAGGAAAGCGAGGAAGGTTTAGAGGTAGAAGATGTGCTTAAGGCTTTCTAGACTCACCCTTACACACTCTCAGATCACCTAGCTGTGAAGGAAGGTCGCGGGCTACTCGGGACCTGATGCTGAGGGACAAGGATTCAGGATCTCTCACCCCGGTCCAGGCCTTCCCCACCTTTTCTGAGGCTTTGCGCTCTATGCAGATTACCTCAACATCAATAGTCAATATTTATTAGATGGAGGAAAGGATGAGGCAGCTCCTTGAGAGGGCCTGGGCTTAAAGTCACAGCCTGTAAGTGACAGCCTGGGACAGGGGAGAGCCCAAGCCACCAAGTCACAAGCCTGTCACCTTAGCATCATATAACTGTCAGACCCCCAGGGGCTCAACTGTTAAATGGAGATACCAACCTATTAGGAATGTTGAGAGGTTTAAAGCATTCAGAACAGGGGTTGGGGGTGGTGGGTAGGGCAGAGTGTTGTCTTACGGTAAAGACCCATTGGTTGGAAGTCAGCCACAACCATCAGGCCTCATCACCCGTAGGAGAGAAGGAGATGTCCCCGGCATCATCTTTGCTAGCTTATAGTCTTCTGAATAGCCTGGCATTTATAGCATCTACTAGCATCAGGCACTGGGTCAAGGCGATGAGAATTGTGCCTGACACAACTCATTACCCATCAGAGTTCTAGAGCACTTGGAAATGGCCCTGGTTAAACATTAGAATCACCTGGCGAAAGCTCACAAAAACCGCCAGCCTAACTGGATTACAACTCAAGTCTGAAGTAAATATCTGCCTGTTCATACTGATATGGACAACGCACAGGTAAACCCATGCTGAGAAGAGAAATCTCTCATGCAGAAGAATCTGAAATAATGTACTCCAGCTCAAGGAGGCGGGCCCCAAGTAAGTTGTGAATGGTGATCCCTTCCAAGAGGACAGTATGCAAACAGGTGTATGTGTTGGGGAGAAACCTGACAAACATTACTTTAGCCAGGGGATCAAGGTCAACATCATCAATGGTAAGTCATGCTGATAGTATGTCCCCTTGATACTATGACAAGAGGATGAATATGATACTTAATGTCAATGGTCTTCCTCCCAACATGTCATAACCCCCAGCAAATCATTTAGAAAGGCATTAAACAAACCCCAGCAGAGGGACATTCTACAAAACACCTGACCAGCATGCCTCAAAACTGAAGGCCATCAAACAAGGAAAGTCTGAGAACCATCACAGCAAAGAGGACCCTAAGGATCCATGACTGCAAATGCAAAACACAGTATCCAGGATGGGACCCTGGATCAGAAGAGAGCATTAGAGAAAAGCTTAGGAAACCTGAATTAAGTATGGGCTTTGGTTCACAGGAATGGATCCATATTGGGCCATTATTATAACAAATATTAATGAAAGATGTTAAGGATAGGGGAAACTGGGAGAACTGTATGGGATCTCTCTACTTTCCTCAGTTTTTCTGTAAATCTAAAACTTCTAAAAAAATAAAGTTTATTTGTAAAAAATTTAGGAAGCTGAAATCAGCAAAATGTAGACTGAAGGAAACTTTGCAAGATAAATGATCTGGTTTCTTCAGTAAGCAAATTACAGGAGGAAAAGAGATGGAGGCAGAATCTATACATTAAAAGGGAGTGAAAAGACATATCATTTTAAGTGATTGAGTTTTATTTGGATCCTAATTCGAAGAAACAAACTTAAGGAGCCCTAGTTAGTTTGGCTCAGTGGATAGAGTGTTGGCCCACAGACGGAAGGATCCCAGGTTTGATTCCGGTCAAGGGCATGTACTTCAGTTGCAGACTCCATCCTGGCCCTGGTCAGGGCATGTGTGGGGGGCAACCAATCCATGTGAGTCTCTCACATCTTGTTTCTCTTTCTGTCTCTCCCCCCCCCCCCACTACCATTCTCTAAAAATGAATGGAAAAATATCCTCAGAAGATAACAACAACAAAAAAGAAAGGAAAAAGTTAAGGAAAAAGTAAAACAGTGGCAGAAATAAGCAAAACTGATTAGATATTTGATATACAGGACTTATTGATCATTTTTTTAAGTGTGATACTGGTATTGTGACTGTAAAAAGTATTTAAAATAAATACTAAAAAAAATAAATACTAAAATATAAAGATTTTTTTGCTACTTTAACATCTCGATATGGA